AATAAAAAAAACCAACCCGGATGGACATTAGAATTTGATATAATTTCATTATTGACTCTGGGTTCCTAACGGTTTTTGGAATAATTAACGAATCTACTTCTGCCAATATATATATACCCGGTGACAAAAGGCCTAAGATGCATACACTCATTTTAAATCCGACGATGAAAATGATGATTCGCTTTGCTTCATCCGGACATATTTCGTTTTGTTTTATGTCTTGGTCTATTTCATCTTTTGCGTTTATTGCTTCTCGATAGATATCCCAATATATTTTTGGCTCATTACCTTTACGTTTGGGACTCATTACCTCAGCAAGTACACCTGTTCGTATACCATCTTTATTATTTAATTTATAGTCAGGGCATCGGCCGTACCCTCGGCGTAATTTGGAGGCTTTTGATTCTACATCTATCCTATAAAAACAAGCAATTGTGAATTAGTTAACTCTTAAAAAATTGTAGAAATTATATCACATCATACCATGAATGTGATGTAGTATAATTAAAATAATGAACTGTTTTATTAAATAATGGCGCAATGAAATCTATCATAAATGTTCCTTCCGTTAATTCATCTACATTAGTAGAGAACTCCCATAAGATGCATTCCTCTAATAGTTTAAAAAATGCCCTCGTTAAGAGGTTTCCAGATAAAACTGTGAAATTTTGTCTAAGGGACCTTTCGATTGTTTCCAGGCTATCTTGTTGAAAACTCTAATAAAATTCATAATAAGATACAATATATAACATATATATGTGAAATTTAATTCACAAACCTTCTTTTGTTTTTTCACAAATTCAATTATTTCCTCTGGAATTGAAAGTTTTTTGAACTTTGATGTAACACATGACCAAATTGCTAACGATTCATCTGATGTTAAAAAAATCACTATAACCTTGTTCGTTTTTTTGTTGGAAATAAAAAATGGATGATGCACCAAGTATATTATGAATATTTTGCTTAGACGGGTGACAAATTCCACTAGACAATTGTTGAAGAGTATGTTGTTGCCATTTAAGTAACTTGATATCCAAACCTTCACTGCTTTTAATAGTTTCCGAAATCATCTCTTGCAAAGATAATAATTGAGAGGATTCGAAAAATAACGGGAGTCCTTTCTGCATGTAATATATATTATAAGCTCATTCTTTGTTATATACTACTTAAAAATTTTCATACCTTAACATCTTCATTCTCAATATTTTGTTCTACATATAGTAGTCTTTGCTGAATGGGTGATGTTAGTTAATTACAACGCCCGTGAATACAATTTAAAACATTATTTCATTACCTTTTTTGTTTGTATATTCTTTTGGCCCAGGGCATAACTAATCACTTTTCTCTCGAAACAATTCCTTGGACATTTCCAGAAACTGTTGAATTATTGATGCTAATTGAGGGGTTACCACTAATACGCCCATTATTCAAGTTCCGTGCTTTTTGACGATCGGGTCGATTATTCTAAAAACCGTTAGGAACCCAGAGTCAATAATGAAATTATATCAAATTCTAATGTCCATCCGGGTTGGTTTTTTTTATT